ACACACACACACACACACACACACACACACACACACACACACAAAGTCTGTCTACATCTGCATTGAATACACAGACTATTTTCTTGCCATTATTCCCTAAACAATATAATACAACAACTATTATATAGCACCTACTCTGTACCAGGTATGATAAGAAATCTAGAGATGTCTTAAAGGGAGTATATGCATATGGTTATATGCAAATACCACATTGTTTTATATAAGGATGTTGGGCATCCAAGCACTTTGGTACCTTATGGGTCCTGGAATCAATCTGTGCACAACGTACCTTTAACTCTTAGCTCTGATCAAAACCAAGATTTCGATGTATTTGATGGGCATCCAACATTGGAGATTGTTATTTGTTTACTTCCCATAGCATCTTCCTAGGATCTAGCACAGGGTATGGCAACAAGCAGAATGAAAAAATTTATAAGATGAAGGAAGGCTTTAGTTCTGATGAACAGTGAGAACAGGGCCTTATCTACTATCGTGCAGGTTATTGAAATTTGCAAAATATTGTAAAAGATGAAGAGATTTAAATGAGGTTTCTTCTGTATTTTGGAGTCAGTTTGTAGATTATTCCTTGCCTGTTTTTTGTTTTTTGGCCCCAGACACGGTCTCCCTGTAGTCCTAGCTGGCCTGACACTTGTTATGTAGGTTACTCAAGTGTGGTTGGCACAATTTCCACTGTTGATGAACTGACCTTTCCTTTAACCCTGAATGAATCAGTTAACTTTGAAGGAGATAGAAATACAAACACACACACATACACAAACTACCTTAAGATTCTAAAAGGTGAAAAGATAGATGACTTCTCAAATTCCTTGAATTAAAATGAAACCTCAGCCTATCTTAAAATTGCCTAAGTGACTAATTACTGGAGATTTGTAAGATATTTTGAAACACAGAGGTGGTGGTGGTGGGGAAGCCCACATTTTTTTCTAAAAATTGTAGTTCAACTTTACTAGTGATAAGCTGCAAAACAGAAAAACAGACTATGAAAAAAGACTTGGATGCCAGAGAGAATGGGAACAACCTTCAGGCATACCACATACCAGCCAGTGGCCTTAGCAAGTCAGTTAACTTCTCTAACTCTCTCTCCTCATTCTTCAAAGAGTGCCCAGCACTCTCATGAATGTAGAAAAAGCATAGAGCTTGATTCAAGGCAAACCTTCAGTGACTATTAAACAATTAAACAACACAATGTCACATCCACACAGAGGGAGAGCTATAACCTCCCTCTTCTGAGGATGCCCTTGCTCTTGGGCAACTAAATAACTTCTACTCTGAATCAAGAACCCATTCTACAGCTCTTCCTGTGTGGCTAGGATTCGTTAAGCCCAGTCCTGGCCCTGTAGACCCAGGACTGAACTTGATTTGCAGAAGTGGCTGCTGCTTTAGTCCCAGGCTGCACAGCTTAAGTGTGGTGGGAGAAGATGCTGTTGCTGGTCCTCTTCTTGTCTCAGACCTTAAGATGCCTACAGAAGGGGTTGGAGAGATGGCTCAGTGGTTAAGAGCACTGGCTGTTCTTGTAGATCGACTTTCAAAAAGGATCCAGGTTGGATTCCCAGCACCCACATGGTGGCTAACAACATCTGTAACTCCAGATTCAGGGGACTCCAATGCCTTCTTCTGACCTCTGCAGGCATTGTGCATGACTTGAGTACACTTATATACATGCAGGCAATACACTCATATACATAAAACAAAAGTAATAATAAAATAATTTTTAACAGATGCCTAGAGAAGCAAAGAGAGCAGGCAGTCCTCTCTAGGTGGTAAAAAGTAAAACCCTCCCTCCTCGCCCCAGGAACCTAGGACAAAGGGCAGTGGGCTTCCCACCTCTCTGGAGCTTTCATCTTCAGGCTGCTTCTCTTCCACACTGCCATCTTCCTCGCCACTGGCAGATTCGGTGCCACCCAGATCCTACGGGGCATTAAAAAGAAAACAGCAGAGCCGTCATTCCACATTCACACTTGCTCAGACTACACACACAGTACGCCGTTGGCAGTTCGGTGTTTCTGCGGACATTGTTTCTGCAGAAGCTATTCTGTGTCTTTCTTACTGAAGGCCAGCTGGTGTCTCTGTTTGTTTGCTTTTGTAGGCATTGATCCCTGCAGCCTGCAGATGTGCTTTGGGAAAGCTGGTCCCCACTCTGTTCCAGGCCCAGGCCGACTGCCTCAGGCCAGTCCCCTTCTTTTTGACAACAATTCTGTGAGGAAAGGGAACCTAGAGAATGGATTTTGTCAGTTCTGGCAATATGACAAAGAGAGTAGCATGCTGGAGGCTGTAGAAAAGTTCTTCACTAATCTTCCTTGGCTCTTTTCTTTTTCCTTGCACTTTATTATTGTCTGGGTGTTTAAGCTTGCATGCTAAGTTTTTACAAGCTGATAAACACTGAAAAATTATTTCTCCCACAGAACTAAAATCACACATGCCCAGACAGTGTACATAGCTGAACTAACATTAGTCACTACTGCGCATTACCATTTATAAATTATATAATAAAACAAATGATCAGATACTCAAGGGTTAGTTACACAGCTCAAAAGGCATATAAAGATATGAGATGTCTACTCAATTTGTTAGCAAAAGCTCACGTTCTTTTTTGTAAAACAGGTTGGGGAGAGATAAGAAAAAAATTATTTCAAACAAAAAAATAACTTGGGAATCAACTTCTAATATCTATAGAAAGATAATTGTAAAAACTTTTGGTGGGGATGGAGACATGGATCAGTGGGTAAAGGCATTTGCTGCCAGATCTAACCATCTGGACTTTCATGGTAGAAGGAGAGAAATGGTTCCTGCAAGTTGTCCTCTGATCTCCATACAATAAATAAATATAGAAAATAAAAGAATTCAGAAAACATTATTAAGAGCTATTTTAAGCTCTATAACAGGCACCTCTATCTTTATTTAAGGCACATGCTACCTGTTCTGCATGAGGCACAGGCAACATCTTAACTAAAAACATTTAATAGCCTGTTCTAGTTTTAAGCTGCTGCTGTTAAGCTGGCCCTCAGAGGGCAAACATAAAATTCATTCTCTTTAAAAATTGTCCAGATTCTTTAAAGACGTGCTTCTACAGCAATGCTTTCTTTAAATTCTTGTTATTGTTTGGCAGTTTCATACATTTATGTAATTCTAGCTGTCTTTACCCCCATTTTCTTCTCTTACCTCTCCCTCCCTCACCATACCCCTCCTACTTTTGTATCTTCTTTTTGTGTGTGGCTCACTGAGTTTAACCAGAGTTTCTTGCCTGAGCATGGGCAGGAAGTTATTTACTGCAGTAAGTGCAACTTATTAATGGCTACACCACTGAAGAAAATGACAACACTTCCTCGAGGACTATTGTCTGCCAGTAGTCTCTCAGGGAGGGGTGGGGCCATGGCTCCTCCTTCATTCATGATGAAATGTTAACACGCCCAATGGCATGCAGGTCTTCTGCAGACAACTGCAGCTGCAGTGAGTGAACAATGTTGACTCTCTAGGTGGAGGTTTCCCACAACCACACAAATAGGATGTGTAGAAAGATACTAATTATCGTAAGCCCTGCCCCCCCCCCAAAAAAAAATCAGTGGTTATGCAAACCTGATGTACACTGGTCTGAGTGTGGACAATATAAACATAAGGTGATCAGGCAAATAATCAGAGAAGCCCTATAACACCCAATGACGGAGTGAACGAACCACAGCTGTAGAGTGTTCTCAGTTCCTGGAACTCTGAATCTGTATGATACTAAAAACATACAAGCATTGTGCTGGATATTCTGGTGCTTAAACTTTCTAAATTTCTCCTGTGTGGATAAAATTTTGGCATGGGAATATATTTAAAGACATAATATGGTATGAATTAGTACAACTGATAAGCACATTTTCAGTCCTAAATAGCAGCAATCTTCTGTTAAGTGTCCAAATGGGCTGATCTTAACCAAATTTATACAGGTTGTGATTTTACAAGCTTGTGGCCTAGTAAAAGTGCTTTTCGACATGCCCATGAGGTGTCCTTAGACTTGTTTACCAAGCCAATATTAACATGTTGGTTAATACCTACAGCAAATTAGGTCCCACCTCAAGTTCTACTTCCAAGGCAACAGCATTAGGTGCCCAGTTTTTATGGAAGGTAACAGTTATTTCTATGACTATGACAGTTTTTGAGGCATAGCTACATTTTAAGATAATTCTCTACAGACAAAAGTTGTTTGCTATTAAAAGTTCCTCATTGCTTTTGCCTTGTGAATTAATCTGTATTTTCACATTTCATTTCACCTTAAATTAATCCTAAGCAACAAGCAGTACAGCAATCAAATTCTTCATGAAACAATTTCTGTGATGTAACTAGTCATAAACAGTGTGGTTGGATGGTGGTATACTATTAGCAAAAGGCCAGTTGAGAACATGGATGCCTTCCTTCTCAAAAGTAGTGTCCTAAGTTGTTTTAATACTCGGTACTGTGGTAACTTCATCCTTCAGTTCCTCTAAAATTTCACATTTTGGCTGAACTAGAATAAGGAATGTTATGTTCTTTTGACTTCACAGGAGCAGAGCAGTTCATTCAAGTCATGTTGATTTATTTAATTTAAAAACAATCAATTGGGGGGCTGGAAAGATGGCTCAGTGGTTAAGAATACTGGTTACTCTTGCAGAAGACTTGGGTGCAGTTCCCAGTACCCATATGGCAGCTCACAACTGTCTGTAACTCCAGTTCCAGGGACTCTGATGTCCTTTTCTGGCATTCATGGGCACTGTATGAACGTGGTGCACTTAAATACATGCAGGCAGAGCATCCATACACATAAAATAAATATAAATTTAATAAAACAATCAATTGGGTTATAAAAGAACTCGAAGAACTAGATATAGAAATGATGAAATGAAACTGGTCTACTTCAGTGTACTCTCGGAAATTCTCAGTGCCTTGAGTATTAAGTGGAAGAAATAGGAAACGCAATGAATCTTGGCAAAAAGTAGTAACTCTTCAATCCAGTGATACCAAGGCAGAAGAACGAACACACACTGAAGTATAGCCCATCCAGGTTAGAATGCCTATAAAGTACTCTACAGGCTTTGAGTCAAAGCTTCTGCTTCTAGGCTCACTATGAGCTATGGAGCTTCTTGGTGGAGTAGTAATGAATTCCTATAGTTCCCCTGTCACACAGAGGTCATCTGTGCCCACCAGTAATCTCCATTGTCCTTCAGAAACTCCACTGAACTGAGGACTAGGTCTACACATTGAAGACTATGGCCTAATCATAGAGCTGGTCCCCAAGCAGCAGCACTAAAGGCAACATTAGTGGTAGTGCCAGCTGCGGTAAGGGAATGGGTGTGGTCGAAGGGCCATGCAGCAGTGCTGGTGTCACAGGATTGCTTCTTAATCATAAGAGAGTCACGGTGAGACAGGTAAGGGGAAGCACCCTTCTCTGTGGTGCTAGGCAGGTGTGAAGCATTGTTAAGGCACTCTTAAAGTCTGTCAAAATCACCATTAGTGTTAATGATAAATTCTGTAAGTTTTTATTCTTTCTATACGTTTCTATTCCTTCTAATGTTTATGTTCCTGTAAATAAGCAAAGATGTTGGGAGGTAGAGCCATTTGCTTGCTACCTGGCAACTGTTGGACTCTCCCTTGCTGCCCTGGCTGCCTTGAGTACAAGGAACAGTAGTCAAACAGCACCCTGAGCTGCCTTAGGCCAGCACCAACAATCTTGAGCACTCCAGGAACATTTTGATCCCAGCTGAATGCCTGGATGTGACAGTGCAACCTTAGGACTGTCTCAAACAGGTTGCATCAGACTTTTCCTATCATAAGCCTTGGTGAATTATAGATGCTCCCCCTGACCCCCAACATTTGCACTTAAACCAAAGAGATAATGCTGTGATTGATGCAAATATTAACCCTCATTTGCACATGACATGTGCTGTGACTGGTGCCAAGACCTCTTCTCTGGCTAAGTAAATAGGGGATTAAATCACCCAGGGAAACACCCTCCTGTGCTGCCTCCAGTGTTGCAAAAGGAGGCCCAGAAAAGTCTTCTCAGTGATCTTTCCTACTTTTAGTACTTGGGCTGAGCTGGTAACGAAGAAAGACGGATGCAGGAGAGACAGCATGGCAGCTCTGGCTCTAATAGCTTGACTGCTGAGAAGGCAACCAACCAGTTCAAGAGAGTGGCCAGGGCAGAAAGAAAAGGGACAGTGGAAGCGGAGGATGAAAAGCTATAGAGCTGAAGGAAGATAAAAAGCTACAAAGAGGGGGCTGGGGAGATGGCTCAGCGACCAAGAACACTGACTGTTTTTGTAGAAGACCCAGGTTCGAATCACAGCATCCACACGGCAGCTAACAACTGTCTGTAACTCCAGTTCCAGGGGCCCCAACAGCCTCTTCGGTCCTCCACGGGTACTGCATGACACGGGTGCACTTACGTACATGCAAGCAATACATTCATACACGTAAAAATAATAAATAAAATATTTTCTTAAAAAAAGGTTACAAAAAGCCAGGGAAGAGAAATTGCAGGCCCTGTCCACTTGAAAAGTTCCAGGGAGCTGTCAAGCCATAAGAGCAAAGACCTGACTCAAAACAATAAACAACAGAAGTCCCCAAATAAGTGTGTATTGAGCAGTTACCTGCCACATAGCAATGCTACAGTCGGTGACAGAATGTAGGACCCTGAGACCCTCTTCATTCACCAGCTACCCCCCAATCCCTCCAGACCCACACTAATTGCTCTTTTAGCTTCTGTAAAATGCTTGGCTGCTGCTTTAAACATGCCTAGACATGCCCTGACCCCCACCTGCTATCCCCCCCCTTCCAGGAAACTATAGATTAAGCAAGCCCACGCATAAAAACAGCCCTATAAGGTAAAAGCAGAGACTCCTGGCCCCACAGGTAACAGTCAGCACATTCCACAGCCCTGAGAATAGCACCTACCA